GTGACCTTCAACTGTCAACTGGAGGTTACATCTTCAAGAGAAAACTAGATAGTTTTCTTCAAGAAGTGCCGAAGTAACCTGCATGTGGTAGATATGTGGGCCTGCGGGCCGCTCCAAGCAACAGCCTGGTGGACCGAGCTCTCACAAGTCAAGCCTGGCCTCAGCCCGGGCTTGGGGGAGTAGAACTCTCAGAACCCCATCCAGGCTCACCCCCCTACCACTCTATGAGAGATGTGGGTGAGTGGAAGAATAGTTGAGGTGAGCGAGGGGGCACACCCTGGGAAGATGGTCTGGGGCGGCGGCAGGAAGGAGCACCCTAGGCAGTAGGGTCGGGGTGGGCCCCGCAGGACTACAAATGCATGTTAAGAGTCAGTAGCACCTCTAAAGCTTGGGAAGAAGATATCGTAATACCAGTATTTTAGGAAGAAGACAAGACAAGAGGCACTAAATTACAGACAAGTGTCTTTAACGTCTCTCCGTGCGTGCAGGGTGGGAGAGTGTTCTCCCACGACGACCAACCCTCCACCTCGAGAGAACAAAACTCCCACGCGGGAAACATAACAATATAGAGAGGGAAAATCTTGAACTGTATTTGTCTACATTTCCGGAAAACCATTTGATAGATTCCCTTACGGGAGACTTGTTATTAATGGTGCAGAGCGGACAACCCAGTATGTGAGGCGTCGGGCTGGGCTCACAGTGACCTACTGCCAGGGAGACGGAGCCATTCGTAGAGACAAAATGGTTAAGAGAGAGAGAGAGAGAGAGAGAGAGAGAGAGAGAGAGAGAGAGAGAGAGAGAGAGAGAGACCGAGACCGAAGGAGATACATGTATGAGAGTAACCAACTTGTCCTGTACAGAGGACGTTCACGTTGTGTGGAGAGTGCCAGCTGGCACCGTCAATATTGACCCGCTGAAGGTCTGGAGTAACTGGTACAGTCTATGGCAGACAGGCAACCACATCAAGTGGGGAGCAGGCGTGAGTACTGTGGGGAGCAGGGGTGAGTACTGTGTGGAGCAGGGGTGAGTACTGTGTGGAGCAGGGGTGAGTACTGTGGGGAGCAGGGGTGAGTACTGTGTGGAGCAGGTGTGAGTACTGTGTGGAGCAGGGGTGTGTACTGTCTTGACAAGCTGAGGCCACCTCTGGACCTGTGGCTTGCCAGGCCACACTGATGAAACTTATATATATATATATATATATATATATATATATAATTCGGAGAAGGCCTGCAAGAGCTATAATCTGGACGTGGAGAATGGTGGAGTCGAGTGCGGCACCTTTGCAGGGTGACCAGGAGCAGGAGGTCACCGCAGGAGATGGAAATTGTCCCGTTATAAGAGTAGGTGTACCTGAAGTACTATTATCAGCTAGCACACCTCCAGTGTTCACGAGGGAACACCAACATCCTACCTCGACTGCGAACTGCGTCACCAACAGTTTGTTTAAGCAGACCAACAGCCTTGAAGTTGGTCAGAGACCGGGCCGCGGGGACACTGATCCTCGGAACTACCTCAAGGTACGCGCTAGGTAGGTGACGGTTAGTGGTATATGTGTTGGGTGGGGTGGATGCTGAGTGGGTGGTGGGTGGCCTGGATGGTTGGCTAGGTGGTGGGTGGCCTGAGTGGAGGGTGGCCTGGGTGGTGGGTGGGTGGGTGGGTGGCCTGGGTGGCTAGGATGGTGGCACCAGTAGAGTCGGGTGGGCAAGGAACCGTATATGGACTCACTCCAGGCTGAAGGGACACTAACCCATCTGCCTTCCCACCTATCCACTCACCACCACCCCATCCACCCGTCCATCCACTCACCACCACCCCATCCACCCGTCCATCCACTCACCACCACCCCATCCACCCGTCTATCCACTCACCACCACCCCATCCACCCGTCCATCCACTTACCACCACCCCATCCACCCGTCTATCCACTCACCACCACCCCATCTACATACTCACCCAGTCACCAATCATTCATTCCCAGGGTGATCGGGATGTGGAGCGTGGCCACACAGCACGTGGAGCGTGGCCACACAGCACGTGGAGCCTGGCCACACAGCACGTGGAGCGTGGCCACACTGCTCGTGGAGCGTGGCCACACTGCTCGTGGAGCGTGGCCACACAGCACGTGGAGCGTGGCCACACAGCACGTGGAGCGTGGCCACACAGCACGTGGAGCGTGGCCACACAGCACGTGGAGCGTGGCCACACAGCACGTGGAGCGTGGCCACACAGGTGCGTCTCACCTTCTCATGTATACCTCATGAAAATCATAAACTAATCTCATTATGTTGATAATTTTGTGGAGGCAGACTGAGATGAGGAGACGTGAAGCACTTCTCTCAGTGTGTGTTGTTTCATGGAGGAATATGTGTGGTGCCTGGTGAGGCCTAGTGAGGGGTGTGTGGGGGGCAGGGAGAGAGAGAGAGAGAGAGAGAGAGAGAGAGAGAGAGAGAGAGAGAGAGAGAGAGAGAGAGAGAGAGAGAGAGAGAGAGAGAGAGAGAGAGAGAGAGAGACAGAGAGAGAGAAAGAGAGCCTGGAAAGTGTGTGAGGGGGAGGGAGAGTGTGTTGGGGGGATGCCGATGATTGATTGATTAAGCCAGCCAAGAGGTGGCAGGGGCATGAATAGCCCGTAAAGGGGGTGGGGGACGGGGGATGGTGCCGGAAGACTGCGAGTAGTGTGGTGGAGGAGCCACGAGAGACGCAGGTGGGGAGAGTCCCCTCAAAGCTCCACGCTCCGCCCGCCTCTCTCCCCAGTAAATGCGTAAGACACAAAGAACTGTGTCGGAGAACAAGTACCGAAAACGTGTAAGAAAAAGGAAGGAGGAGGAGGAGGAGGAAGAGGAAAGGTGGGGGTGGGGGTGGTGGGGGTGGTGACAGGAGGAGGGCAGGAGGAGGACTGGGGGGGGAGGGGGGAGGAGAAGTGCCCCCGGGCACACCTTGATGTCTTCATTACTTGACCTAGGTGTCCGGACCTTCACATTTTGGCTTCCTTGGCGGAGGGAGCCAGCGTGGTGTGGCAGGGCCGCCTCGCCCTGCTGGAGGGGTAGAGGGGCCGCCAGGGTGCAGGAGGGAGGGCTGGCCTGGTTGTGAGTGGTGCAGGAGGCTGTGAATGAGCGTAGAAAGGAAGCTGCTGATGAGGGGTGTGGTGAGGTGGTCTGCCCTCACCACACCGCTGCATCAACCCCATATTTGGCGTAATTTAGCGGGGACTGGCGGCCCGCAGCCCACGTTGACGCTGCTCCACCGCTCTCCCTGGAAAGTCCCTGGGCGGTGCCCCGGTGGTCCCGCTCCCACTTGCACACAAAAAGTGCAGTAAAGCGTCGCTCCTCTCACAAGGTGGTCCACTTTCATCATCAACTAATTTATGGTCGTTTATCAAAGACACAAGTTGTGTCTTTGATAACAACTGATTTGAGTGACAACTGATTTGACTTTCAAAAACTGTAACGTTCCTCTTAGTTTTCAAAGTGGCTGGACCAATCACCTCTCTTGGGCCGTGACACTCTGTGCTGTGTGGACGGCCGGCGGGGCCACACGTCGTGTGGTGTGTGTGTGTGTGTCACACACACACACACACACACACACACACACACACACACACACACACACACACACACACACACACACACACACACACACACACACACACACACACACACACACTCACTCACTCTAGAGTTTAACACGACCAAATGTAAAGTAATGGAGAAAGGTGTAGGGAGCAGGAGTCCAGATACAAAGTACAATTTGGGAGATAAAATTCTCCAACAACTAAAGACCTGGGGGTTGATATCACGCCAGACCTGTCCCGCTAAGCCCATATCAAGAGGATAACATCAGCGGCATATGCCAGGCTGGCCAACATAAGAACGGCCTTTAGAAACTTGTTTAAGGAATCATTCAGAATCTTGTATACCACATATGTCAGACCAATCCTGGAGTATGCAGCTCCAGCATGGAGTCCGTATCTTGTCAAGCACAAAGACTAAATTGGAGAAGGTTCAGAGATATGCCACCATACTAGTACTCGAGCTAAGGGGTATGAACTACGAGGAGAGACTACAGGAACTAAACCTCACGTCGCTGGAAGACAGAAGAGTTAGGAGAGACATGATCACCACATGCAAAATTCTCAGAGGAATTGATAAAGTAGATAAAGACAGTTTATTTAACACAGGGGGCATACGCACATGGGGACACAGGTGGAAACTGAGTGCCCACAAGAGCCACAGAGACAAGAACTTTTTCAGTGTCAGAGTAGTTAACGGGTGGAATGCATTAGGCAGTGATGTGGTGGAGGCTGACTCCATACACAGTTTCAAATGTAGATATGATAGAGCCCAGTAGGCTCAGGGATCTGTACACCTGTTGATTGATAGTTGAGAAGCGGGACCAAAGAGCCAGAGCTCAACCCCCGCAAGCACAACTAGGCGAGTTCAGTCTTGGGGATGAGTGGCTGAGTGAACATTGCGCAGGAGTCGTAGTGGCCAAGGTTCGAATCCCGGCCGAGGCAGAAACAAATGGGCAGAGTTTCTTTCACTTGATGCACCTGTTCACCTACCTTAAGGCTACCTTGATATGGTTTCAGGGCTTCGACCAGGCCTCCTCATTGCTGGACTGATCAACCAGGCTTTTGGACGCGGCTGCTCGCAGCCTGACGTATGAGTCACAGCCCGGTTGATCAGGTATCCTTTGAAGGTGTTTGTCAAGTTCTCTCTTGAACACTGCGAGGGGTCGGCCAGTTATGCCCCTTATGTGTAGTGGAAGCGTGTTGAACAGTGTCGGGCCTCTGATGTTGATAGAGTTCTCTCTCAGAGTACCTGTTGCACCTCTGCTCTTCAACGGGGGTATTCTGCACATCCTGCCATGTCTTCTGGTCTCATGTGATGTTATTTCTGTGTGCAGGTTTGGGACCAGCCCCTCTAATATTTTCCACTCGTAAATTACTATGTATCTCTCCCGCCTGCGCTCAAGAGAATACAGATTTAGGCTCTTTAGTCGGTCCCAATAGTTTAGATGTTTTACTGAGTGGATTCTAGCAGTAAAGGATCTCTGCACGCTCTCCAGGTCAGCAATTTCTCCAGCTTTGAAAGGGGCTGTCATTGTGCAGCAGTACTCCACTCTAGAGAGCACTAGAGCACCTAGCAGTAATAAGTACCTGGGAGTTAGAAAGCTGCTACAGGCTGCTTCCTGGGGATGGGTGTGTGTGTTAGAGAAATATATGTAGTAAACGTAATAGAGGAAAAAATAGATTGGTTAGAAAGGCGGGTCCAACAGCTAATAGCTTGATTCTGCAGGCACAAATAGTAAATAATGATAGTAAATACACACTCACTCACTCACTCACTCACTCACTCACTCACTCACTCACTCACTCACTCACTCACTCACTCACTCACTCACTCACTCTGTGCCTCTCACATAATGGGCACAGTAGGTTATACCAGGAGTGTGTGACAGTGCCAGAGTGTGGTGTGGCCGGGGCCCCAGTTGGCACCCGGGTGCCTGGTAGTGGTGACCACACCTACAGGAGTGCCGTATAGGTGGGTGTGGGTGACCCTCACACAGGCACCCCCCACCCCCCGTCTTCCCTCCACCTACCGTCCTCCCTAGGGCTGGACTCTAGAGCGAGGATGCAGGTCGGCGTTCAATCCCCGACCGTCCAAATGGTTGGGCACCATTCCTTCCTCCCGTCCCATCCCAAATCGTTATCCTGACCCCTTCCAAGAGCTATAGTCGTAATGGCTTGGCGCTTTCCCCCCCTGATGATTCCCTTCCCCCTTCCTCTCCTCACCCCCCACCCCCATGTCCCCGCGGCAGTGTCGGTGGTTGGCACTTCCCGCACGGAGAGTTAGCACTGTGCCACAGGGACAAAACTGGGAATGCAGGAAGAGGAAGGCGGCGGAGTACTGGTAAGAGCCACACAGGTCTGGCCGGCTACAGGTCACCAACAGCGGCGGCGGCAACACTCCCGCCAAACCTCAATTTGAAATTCTAAACGTTCTCATGACTCCCTGCTAGGGAAGTGTTGTGTACCACTGGTGGAGTGTTGTGTACCACTGGTGGAGTGTTGTGTACCACTGGTGGAGTGTTGTGTACCACTGGTGGAGTGTTGTGTACCACTGGTGGAGTGTTGTGTACCACTGGTGGAGTGTTGTGTACCACTGGTGAAGTGTTGTGTACCACTGGTGGAGTGTTGTGTACCACTGGTGAAGTGTTGTGTACCACTGGTGGAGTCTTGTGTACCACTGGTGGAGTGTTGTGTACCACTGGTGGAGTGTTGTGTACCACTGGTGAAGTGTTGCGTACCACTGGTGCAGTGTTGTGTACCACTGGTGGAGTGTTGTGTACCACTGGTGGAGTGTTGCGTACCACTGGTGGAGTGTTGTGTATCACTGGTGGAGTGTTGTGTACCACTGGTGAAGTGTTGTGTACCACTGGTGCAGTGTTGTGTACCACTGGTGCAGTATTGTGTACCACTGGTGCAGTCTTGTGTACCACTGGTGGAGTGTTGTGTACC